TTGATTAGCTCTAGTAATTTTCTGGTAGAGTCTTTAGGGTTTTCTATGTAGAGGATCATGTCATCTGCAAACAGAGAGAGTTTCACTTCTTCTTTTCCTATCTGGATTCCTTTTACTTCTTTTTCTGCCCTGATTGCTGTGGCAAAAACTTCCAAAACTATCTTGAATAGTAGTGGTGAGAGTGGGCACCCTTGTCTTGTTCCTGATTTCAGGAGAAATGCTTTCAATATTTCACCATTGAGGGTGATGCTTGCTGTGAGTTTGTCATATATAGCTTTTATTATGTTGAGGTATGTTCCTTCTATTCCTGCTTTCTGGAGAGTTTTAATCATAAATGGATGTTGAATTTTGTCAAAGGCTTTTTCTGCATCTATTGAGATAATCATATGGTTTTTATCTTTCAATGTGAATTGCTTTTTTTTAAACAAAAAAATCTTTAATTGTACAAGTTTGCCTGATTCCGCTTTTAATGATACTTTCTGCCAATGACTGAAAATTGTTTTTCTAATACATCAACTTTTGATATCAGAAGGCAAAATGAAACATTTCAGCTTTGTGTGATTTTCAATATAGAAATCATATGAGTTTTTTTTTTTAAAGACAAATAAAGAGTATATCCAAAGCAATATAAAAGGGAAGGAGCAATGAGAAATTCCAGAGGTTAAATCCTTGAAGATTAAAATGTTCAATTTTCTAAAGCAGCAATTTCAAGTAGATCTTTGTAGTTGTATTGTGCATGCATGCTCAGTCGCTCCCAGCTCTTTGCAACCCCATAGACTATAGCCTGCCAAGTTCTTCTATCCATAGGATTTCGCAGGTAAGAATCCTAGAGTGGATTGCCAGTTCCTACTCCAGGGAATGTTTCTGACTCAGGGATGGAACCCACGTCTCTGGCATCTCCTGCATGGGCAGGGGGACTTGTTACCACTGCGCCACCTAGGAGCCTTGAAGTTGTACAGGAAGGTTTTAAGTTGCCAAGCAAAGTATTCTTTACAAAACTCTTGCTAGTTTCTAGTTTTTGTACATTTTTAATAGTGAACGTGAACTCTATAGGGCTTCCTAGGTGCCTGCAATGCAGAAGACACGGTTGGATCCCTAGGTCAGGAAGATCCCTTGGAGAAGGAAATGGCAACCCACTCCAGTATTCTTGCCTGGAGAATTCCATGGACAGAGAAATTTGATGGGCTACGGTCCATGGGGTTGCAAAGAGTCAGACATCACTTAGCAACTGAGCACTCACTCTAGAAAATCAGATATTAAAATTATTTTAAACTATTGGGTCTGAACTGCTTTCATTCCTTTCAAGTATGCTCTCTCCCCCAACCAGCACAAGCATTCATGACCTACTGTGGAGCTGCATCCTGAAGCAGGCGGGGCCAGAGCAGTTGCTACACTCAGGTTAGGGTGCATTCCAGGGTGACCGGGTAAAACAGGCCAGCCACCCATGCAGTTTCAATCTGCCCTCTACACCCTGTTTTGTGTGCATGCAACCATGTGCTCATCCTCATGAATGAAGCCCAGCCTTCGCACACCACTCCTTTTAGTCTCACCAGTCCTCTTTCCACCCGGGGTACCCATCTTCACTGTGTCAGACCCCAGGGCAGCAACACTCAATGTAGCTTGAACTCCTAGCCCCCCAGAGAGGTCCTCTGCCCTTGTAATCTCCCTTCTTCACCGAGTCCCCTTCCAGAGGCACAGATCCCAACCTGATGTTTAGCTTCCCTCCCAGTGAAACACCACGTGGCTCTATCTAACAGCCTTGATTCTGGAGCAGTCTTTCTGTCAGTCTCCAGCTATTAGCAGTTTTCAGTGAGAATTGTTCCGCATGTACATGCATTTTTGACTGATTCGTGGAGGGAAGTAAAGTTTTGCATTCTCCTACTCTGCCATCTTGATCGTGCTCCCCACATTTCATTATTGATTTTTTTTTCATTGTTGGTTTTTGTCATTAAAAATATTTATGCAAAGATGTTGCATTTCAAAGCAAACACAAGGTTCATAAAACATTTAATTGTACCTTTTCTCACATAGTGTTACCTGGTATTTTGTACACTCTAGGGTAATTATGACTAATTTCCTCTGAAGGTGTTACAAGGACAATATAGATTTGGGAGGGCATATTTTACACAATTTTCATTACAGTTCATGCAATTCATTCATTGGTAATTTGACGATTTTATGTTTTCTACAACAACCAGTGCACTTCCTCAGACACATATACATTTGGCATCTACCCAACTGAATTATAAGGGTTGAATTTTCAAAATATACAAATAGCTCATAGAGCTCAATATCAAAAAAAAACAGACCACCCAATCAATAAATTGGCAGAAGACCTAAATACACATTTCTCCAAAGAGGACATCCAGACAGCTAACAAGCACATGAAAAGATGCTCAACATCATTTATTAATAGACAAATGCACATCAAAACTGCAATAAGGTAGAACCAGTTAGAATGGCCATCATCAAAAGTCTACAAATCTTTTAGATTGGGTTTCCAAGTGCCTGAGATGGGAAATAGGTAGATAGCTAGACAGGAGCAGGGTATCAAAGAGGGCCAAAGAATTGGCCCTAAAAATAAAGAAAGGGAAGAATGTGGTGAGCCAAGGATGAAAGAGCAGATAAAACCAAGGAGGGTATTGGAATGCAGGAACAGAAAAACCATCCCTTATCGTCCTTCCCTCCCCATGTTGTAGCTATCAATGAAACAGTATAACCTGTCTCCCCTCCTACTGCATAGGGAGAAGATGTTTGCCCTACTCTTCCCCCACCCAGTATACATGCCTCATCCAATTAGCAAATGGCCCGCAAGACCCCTATCCCACTTCTTGCACCCTGGGTATAAAAGTGGCCTAAGGACCCCTGTTCAACATTGTTTTTCCCTTGAGCTGCTGCTGTTCTAACTGCGTCTCCCATTTTAATAAACTTTTTTTCCCCTCTCAAAAAATATTCTACAAATAATATATGCTTGAGAGAGTGTGGAGAAAAGGAATCCTCCTACACTGTTGATTAGAATGTAAACTGATAAAGCCACTATAGAGAACAGTATAGAGGTTCCTTAAAAAACTAAAAATAAAGTTGCCATATAACCCATCAATCCCGTCCCCAGGCATATAATTGGAAAAGACAAAAACTCTAATTTGAAAACATACATGCACTCCAATGTTCTCAGCAGTACTCTCTGCAACAGCCCAGATATGGAAGAAATCTAAGTGTCTATCAACAGATAAATAGATAAAGAAGATATGGTGTATGTGTGTGTAATGAAATATTATTCAGCCATAAAAAGATTGAAATAATGCTATTTGTAGCAATGTGGATGGACCTACTTCAAACTAAATGAATTAAGTCAGACAGAGAAAAACAAATACCTATAATATCACTTATGTACGGAAACATAAAAAATTATACAAATGAACTTATTTACAAAACAGAAACAGATTCACAGGCATAGAAAAAAAACTTATGGCTACATTTAATTTATGAACAGTGGGTGAATTAGGAGTTTAGGATTAACAGATTTATACTACTATATATAAAATAGATAAACAACAAGGTCCAACTATATGCTAAAAGTAACTATATTCAGTAACTTCTAATAACCTATAATCAGTCCTGAATTTTCATTGGAAAGACTGAGGCTGAAGCTGAAGTTCCAATACTTTCACCACCTGATATGGAGAATGAATTCATTGGAAAAGACCCTGATACTGGGAAAGACAGAAGGCAGGAGGAGAAGGGGATGGCAGAGGATGAGATGGTTGGATGGCATCACTGACATTATGGACATGAGTTTGAGCAATCTCTGGGAATTGGTGATGGACAGAGAAGCCTGGCGTGCTGCAGTTCATGGGGTCACAATGAGTCAGACACGACTAAGTGACTGAACTGAACTGAACTGAATCTATAATGGAAAAGAATCTGAATATATATATGCCTGAATCACTTTGCTGTACACAGAAACTAACACAACATTATGATTCCACTATACTTCACTTAAAACAAAGAGAAACTAGCCAACATTTTTCCAAATAGACATACAAATAAATAGTCAGTACATGAAAATGTGCTCAGAATCAGTAATGGAAATAATTCAAACATCACTAAGAGAAATGAAAATCAAAACCACAATAAGCTATCACCTCACACTTCCAAGACAGTGTGACTTCTTTATCTTGATAGTTTCATTCTGCACACGGTCTCCCTCAGAGCCTGGTGGACCTGCTTGTTCCCTAGAGTGTAGATGACAGGGTTCAGCAGAGGACTCACTACCATGTTCACAAGGGCAGCCGCCTTGTTGGAGTCCAACAAGTCCTGTTCACCTGCTTTGGTTTCATGTATATAAAGACGCTACTGCCGTACATCAAAGAGAGGACAATGAGGTGAGAGGAGCAGGTGGAGAAAGCTTTCTGTCACTCTTTGGCTGATGGGAGTCCAATGATTGTGACACCTATGTGGCTGTATGCAGTGATGGTTATGATGAGGGATGCCAAAAGGACACACAAAGCAAGGACAAAGAACAGTGTTTCAACTGACCTGGTGTCAGAGCAGGAGAGATGGATCAGGGGGCCGAGGTCACAGAAGAAGTGATGTATGACATGGGGGCCACAGAAGGATAACTGGGACACCTTCACCACCAGACCAGCCATGAGAGTGAAGCCCAAAGCAAAGCAGGCTGTGACCAGGAGACAGCAATGTCTCAGGTTCATGACAGTTGTGTAATGAAGAAGCTTGCAAATGGCCAGGTACCGATCCAGAGACATCACTGCTATGAGGAGGAACCCTGCTGCTCCCAGAAATACAAAAACAAAGGCTTGTATGAAACAGGCAACAAAGGAAATCGATTGCTTGCCTAAAAGAAAGATGACCAGCAACTTAGGAATAATAGCACTTATGACACAAGACTCAGTGAAGGAGAAAATGCTGAGGAAAAAGTACATAGGTGTCTTTAGCCTGGAGACAGCAGAGGTGATGGCAACTATGACTGCATTGCCTGCAAAGGACGCCAGGTATGCCAGCAGGTGCACCAGAAAGGGGACCTTTCCCAGCTGCTGGACAGCAGGAAAGTCCTCCAAGGTGAATTCTTGGACACTTGTCCCATTCTTCACTGCCAGAGGCTTTTTTTCCCACAATATCCTCACCTGATGCTCTTAACCTAGAATGAAGATGTTACAACAAGCAAAAAGAGTCTTAGGGGAGCCTGAGATCAAGTTATTCGACTCCTTCACAAGGTAGCTGGGCAGATAGCAGACTCTTGCTGAGTTGGTTCTTGAACTAGTAGGATTTGAGTTCAATACTATGTCAACACTGAGTTCTAATCCTGGAGACATGGGTCATCTTTGAAAAGTTAGTTAAATTTCCTAAATTTCACTTTCATCTTCTGTAAAATGAAGATGTAAGGATCTATTTGTTCATGTTCCCCTGAGGACGAAGTAAAATAAGCATTAACTCACTTGACATGTCATGTCAGTGTTTTCTTTGTGTTCCTCGAAGTCTAATTATAATATTAGGGTCATTAACATACTCTTAAATACAGCATGACCAGTAGACAGAGTTATTTACATTTGCACATTTATAAAATAAATCATTGTGTTTTACACTATTATCAGCTTATAAGTAAACTTAACAGTGATATTATTAATATTCCTTTTGAATATCCATTTGAAAATATACAATATGGTCCAAATCATCACAATCACCACCATCATTTATGAGGACTTTATGAATGTCTATTACTTTGCTATTCATCAAGATTCAGTCTTTCTACTATTCTCCACAATAATGAAGAGTGTTACCTAGGTAGTCCCAAACCCTTCTCCAAAAGGAGACAACGAGGCTTGGAGAAATTCCAGAGAAGTTAAATCACATAGCTGAGACTGCAGTTAGATCTGCCAGCATCCAAAGCTCCTGTTAGTTCCAAATGTTGTGACAAAATATCTTTCAATAGGAAGAAATACATTGTTGATTATCTCTCAGACTTAAGTGAAAGTTCAGCTTTAATTAACTTGTCCCATTCTTCACTGCCAGAGGCTTTTTTTCCCACAATATCCTCACCTGATGCTCTTAACCTAGAATGAAGATGTTACAACAAGCAAAAAGAGTCTTAGGGGAGCCTGAGATCAAGTTATTCGACTCCTTCACAAGGTAGCTGGGCAGATAGCAGACTCTTGCTGAGTTGGTTCTTGAACTAGTAGGATTTGAGTTCAATACTATGTCAACACTGAGTTCTAATCCTGGAGACATGGGTCATCTTTGAAAAGTTAGTTAAATTTCCTAAATTTCACTTTCATCTTCTGTAAAATGAAGATGTAAGGATCTATTTGTTCATGTTCCCCTGAGGACGAAGTAAAATAAGCATTAACTCACTTGACATGTCATGTCAGTGTTTTCTTTGTGTTCCTCGAAGTCTAATTATAATATTAGGGTCATTAACATACTCTTAAATACAGCATGACCAGTAGACAGAGTTATTTACATTTGCACATTTATAAAATAAATCATTGTGTTTTACACTATTATCAGCTTATAAGTAAACTTAACAGTGATATTATTAATATTCCTTTTGAATATCCATTTGAAAATATACAATATGGTCCAAATCATCACAATCACCACCATCATTTATGAGGACTTTATGAATGTCTATTACTTTGCTATTCATCAAGATTCAGTCTTTCTACTATTCTCCACAATAATGAAGAGTGTTACCTAGGTAGTCCCAAACCCTTCTCCAAAAGGAGACAACGAGGCTTGGAGAAATTCCAGAGAAGTTAAATCACATAGCTGAGACTGCAGTTAGATCTGCCAGCATCCAAAGCTCCTGTTAGTTCCAAATGTTGTGACAAAATATCTTTCAATAGGAAGAAATACATTGTTGATTATCTCTCAGACTTAAGTGAAAGTTCAGCTTTAATTTTTTCTACCCTTCTGTTAACATCGTTTCATGAAATGTGTTATGCTTAGTCACTCAGTCGTGTCTGACTTCGTTGTGACCCCATGACTGCAGCCCCTCAGGCTCCTTTGTCGATGGGATTCTCCAGCCAAGAATACTGGAATGGGTTGCCATGCCCTCCTCCAGGGGATCTTCCCAATCCAGGGATCGAACCCAGGTCTCCCACATTGCAGGCAGATTCTTTACTGACAAACCACCAGGGAAGCCCTTTTCATGAAATACAGACCTGTGATACAATACAGGCCTTAGAGATCATCTCCTTTAGCACAACCATTTTACAGAAGACAATAGAGACCAGAGACAGGGGTTCCTCAACAACATAATAAAAGTTATAAATCCAGGAATTACTCCAACTTTCTGAGGCTCCATGCTCGCAGGTGAGGGATATGGGGAATGACAGTAGTACATAAGATTAACCAAATAGCAACACAGTATTCTAGAACTTGGTACTTGCCTCCTACTCACTCTTACACCAAAGCTGAATGAACACTTTTCTCTTCAGTCCTCTTAATAAAACACTTCCTAAGGTAATAGTGTTTGACTCTAGCATCTCAATACTAAACTGAAGGTCTGCAGTGTGGAGTGTGTGTGTGTGGGTGGGTGTGTGACTAACCTGCCTCGGGCCAAGTTCTCTGAAGCGATGCTTATGCAACCAAACTACTCACCTCAGAATGACACTCAAGGTGCCTCTGCTTCTGTCCCAGTTACAGCAGTCCCTGTTACAGTTCACTGCTGTCCCTGACACAGGCATGCACAAGCGTTTTCATGGAGAACAGGGCATTCTCCTCCTGGAGTTATTCTCTTCCAAGAAATCAAGAGATCTCTCTGGGATAGGAAAATGGGTATGGAAAAGGAAACACATCGGTCACAGTCTGTTATCTTCAAATCGGGTGACTATACATCCCATGTTCCCAGTGTTCCTGGTTGACAGAGCCCTGATTCCAGAGGCAGAATTTTTCATACCACAAAGCTTCTTCTCAACTTTGACCTCAGAAACCCCAGAAAAGAGCAGACAGAATAAAGCAATCACAATCCACTGGCCCCATCCTTGGTGAAAATTTGGGTGCAGGACTACTTAGGGTTCTGATGAAAGTTCAGACTCCCCAGCTGGTAATAGCCTAGCCTAACATGCAAAATTGTTGTCCACCTGATATACCAACTAATGGGAACAGGCAGCTTCTTCTGAATTCAGCCCTGAGAGCTGCTGAGATGAGTCTTCTTCTACTGAAGCACACCATTGTGGCAATCCATCTGCTCCTAGACACGTACTGCTCTATGTTCCTCCATCATATGCTCACCTTTCCACATGGAGAAGCATCCTTGTCCCACTGTATTACTGCCGCATGCTTCTGACATGCACATCTGAGGCCTCTGTAATAGTTTTCCCAGATGACGGCGTTTAGACACCAAGCAGGATGTACCCAGCCAATGAGCAGAGAGTGCAGGCTTCCAAACCGCACGAGGAACTGAAAGGACATAGAAAGCAGAGACAGGACTGAGGGAAGCTAATTGATCACTGTTGAAAACAAGCGTCCCTAGCACACCTTTATATTTCTCTTCCCATTGCCTGCACAGTGATTGGCTCCCAGAGGCCCGTGTTGTTTTCTGCCAAGATTTGTCCAAGAAACTATATGATGACTTCCCAAGGGATCCTAAAAACCCAATTGGAATGTCTCTATCTGTTTGAGGTAAAAGTGCAGATTAAAATTGTCTATATGGGTTGTGTGCACTGAGGCCAGAGCACTGAGGTTTAAGAATAGAGTATATCATGCAGAAGGGATGGATCACACGCTGGATATTGTCAGGCTTTGGGGAAGACACTGGATTCTGAGGACGGAGATGAAAGCCACCATCCTCACTCAATCATTCTTCATGTCTCCACCAACATTATGATTCTTTTCATCAGATATTTATGTCTGGAGAATATTTTTGTTGCCTTCCTCAATCTCTTTGAAAAGGGGAAGCACAAGGGAACGCTAGGTGGTTTCTTTAACATACTCACATGACCAGCCTCTCTCTTTTGAAATGAAAGCTGTAAAGTGGATGCCAGACTTCTTCAAAACACAGGAAAATTTGAGACATGACTCCCAGTGAGGAGAAGCTGTTGCCATAGCAATCATTCTTTGGAAGGCTGTTTCTCCTCCTGGGGTATCTCAGCTGGGCTACTGACACAGGAATTACCCACTTTTCTTTGACCTCTAGCTTCCCATTGAAAGCCAGGTGGCTAACCTCCTAGAGTCTGTTTTCTGGCAACACTGGGGAATACAGTAGCTGTCTGGAGATCTGTCTGAATATCTCCTCGCTAATCTTCAAAGTCAAGGCAAATTTCACAGAAATTTTCAGGAGCCTTTATGTGTGCCCCAGCTTCCCCAGTGGCTCAGTTGGTAAAGAAGTTGCCTGTCAATATGAGAGACCCCGGTCTGATCTCTGGGTCAGGAAGATTCCCTGGAGAAGAAAATGGAAACCCACACCAGGATTCTTAAGGGGAGAATCCCATATACAGAGGAGCCTGGTGGGTTACAGTCCTAAGGGTTGCAAAATGTCAGACATGACAGAGCACTTAAGCGCACATATGTTATCTCTTATATGTGGACTCTAAAAATGAAACAGACTAGTGAATATAAAACAAACAAACCAAAAAAACCAAAAAGATAAAATGACTCATAGATATAGAAAACAAACTAGTAGTTTCCAGTGGAGAGAGGGAAGTGGGGAGCGGCAAGATAGGGGTTGAGGACAAGAGATACACACTACTATATATAAAATAAATAAGCCACAGTGATGCATTGTACAACAAAGAAAATATAGCCAAAATAACTATAAATGGAGTAGAATATTTAAAAATGTGACCCACTAGGACTTCCTTGATGTTCCAGTGGTTAAGAATCCTCTTGTCAATACAGGGGCACAGGTTAGATCCCTGGACTTGGGAGACCTCACATACCTTGGAGAACTAAGCCTGTGCGCCGAAAATACTGACGAAAATACTAGAAAATACTAGAGCCTCTGGTCTGCAGCAAGAAAAGACACCACAATAAGAAACCCAAACACTACAACGCAGAGTAACCCCCACCTGCCATAGCTAGAGAATGCCTGCACACAGCAAGGAAGACCAGTGTGGCCAAAAATAAAAATGAATAAGTAAAAAAAAAAGAAAATTACTTTTTTAAAAATGAAAATCACTATGTTGTACCTCTGAAATTGTATACTATTGTATTCCAACTCTACTGTAATAAAAATAAATAAAAACTAAAATTAGAAAAATACTTTAAATATTTTAATTCTGAAACCTTGTTTGACCCATTTAATAGCTCTAAAAATTTTACTGTCTATGCCTTAGAATTTTCTATGTACAAAATTATGGCATCTGTGAATAAGATAACCTTTTTCCTCCTTTCCAATCTGAAGGTCCTTTATTTATTTTTGCTCTTGTAACAACCTCTAGGACAGTGTTAAATAGAGACATCCTCTTCTTTTTGATAGGAAGAAGTGTTCAGTCTTTCCTTGTCAAGAATACTATTATTCAGTGATTTTTAATATGTACACTTCATCAGGTTGAGGAATTTCCCTTTTGTATTTAGCTTTCCAAATGTTTTTGTCATGGGAAGTTTCAGTTCAGTTCAGTCTCTCAGTCATGTCCAACTCTGTGACCCCATGGACTGCAGCACACCAGGCTTCCCCATCCATCATGAACTCCCAGAGCTTGCTCAAACTCACGTCCATCAAGTCAGTGATGCCATCCAGCCATCTCATCCTCTGTCTTCACCTTCNCATAGACTGCAGCACACCAGGCTTCCCTGTCCATCATGAACTCCTGGAGCTTGGTCAAACTCATGTCCATCGAGTTGGTGATGCCATCCAACCATCTCATTCTTTATTGTCCCCTTCTCCTCCTGCCTTCAATCTTTTCCAGCATCTGAGTCTTTTCCAAAGAGTCAGCTCTTCATATCAGGTGGCCAAAGTATTGGAGTTTCAGCTTCAGCATCAGTCCTTCCAATGAATATTCAGGACTGATTTCCTTTAGGACTGACTGGCTTGATTTCCTTTAAGTCCAAGGGACACTCAAGAGTCCTCTCCATCACCACAGTTCAAAAGTATCAATTCTTCGCTTTGTCAAATGGTTTTCCTGCAACTATTGTGATCATCATGTGTTTGATGTCCTTTGTTTTATTAATATGGTGTATAATATTGATTGATTTTTATATGTTACAGTACCCTCACATTTATGGGATAAACTGCACTTGGTAATTGTGTGTTATCCTTTGTAATGCGTTCCTGATTTAGGTTTGTCAGCATTATCTTGGTTATTCTTATGTACCTCTTTTCATCACAGAAATCCATGTGTAGTTTTGTTTTCTTTTTTTTTTTTTTAGTTTTCTTTTCTTATGATACTTTCATTTAGTCTTTATATTATGGTAATACTGATCTCATGGAAAGAGCTGAAAAGTGAACGTTTCACTTATATTTTTAGAAGTCTGTGAATAACTGGAGCGAATTCTTCTTTAAATGGTCCACAGAAATCATTAGTAAAGACATCTCTTCCTGAGTTTATTTGTGGGAAGTTTCTGATCATTAATAGGTTTTTCAGTTGTTATTTACTTATTTGTATTTATTCTTTCTTCTTGAGTTACTTTGTGCTTTCCCATAATTTTTTTTCAAATCATTGATATCTCTGATTCTCATCCCTCTCTTGGACCTAGGCAAAAAATGAAAAGCTTCTCTTCTTTTTCCATTTAAAGTCTTCCTTAGTATCATGGAAATTACTGCTCTTTAGGGCTTAGTTAGAGAAGGACATGGCAACCCACTCCAGTGCTCTTGTCTGGAGAATCCCATGGACAGAGGAGACTGGCGAGCTACAGTCCATGGGGTCGCAGAGAGTTGGACATGACTGAGTGATCTAAGCACAGGGCTTAGCTGTCTAAACAAGTCATCTGATGTGGCCAAACTCATTGCCCAACCGATTTGTTTCACGCAAAGCTGGTTTTAGTTAATAACACCATTAGTTGATCAATCAAATTGAAGTCACATACTCAGCTAGATCTATTTCAAAGAATTTGAACTTTGTTCTGCTTTTTTTTCCTCTCTAAAATAATAAAATGTCATTTTAAACTGATGAAGTGGAAATTTTTTAACTGGAGAGGTTTCTATCTTTGTTTCAACTTGAAATTCTATATTCAGATAATAGCCTCAAAGATCCCAAGATAACAAATACCTCTGTTTTTGTGAACTTGGGGCTTTCTAACACATGAGGATGCCAAAGTTTTATTACTATGAAAGTCTTGGCTAACAGGGCTCATACACAGAAAACACAGCTTAAACTCATCATACTGGTGACTTAAAGTTACTGATGGAACTCCTGAACATATTCATTCTGACCTATTCTGGTCCATATGGGCTGGGTCAAAGCAAACCAGTCTTAGGGAAGGAGACTGTGAGTCCCCAACCAACACAGCACCTTATAACCAGGAGGGAACCCCCAACTCTCAGTTTCTTCTAAGGAGTAAAGGGTCACTTCCTGCAGTTCTTTCCCCTGAGTCAGTAGCGTGTAGTAGGCAAATATACCAGCTCTCAGTTTCTCCCTAGATATAGAAGGGATTTCTTTTTCTTTGGAATGGCTTTAGTCATTGACTCCTGCACAATGTTATGAACCTCTGTCCATAGTTCTTCAAGTACCCTGTCTACCAGATATAATCCCTTGAATCTATTTGTCACGTCCATTGTAAAATCATAAGGAATTTGATTTAGGTCATACCTGAATGGCCAAGAAGTTTTCCCTACTTTCTTCAATTTGATCCTGAATTTTGCAATAAGGAGCTGATGATCTGACCCACAGTCAACTACAGATCTTGTTTTTACTGACTGAACAGAGTTTCTCCATCTTTAGCTGCAAAGAATATAATCAATCTGAATATAATATAAAGAATACAATCAACTGGTATGGACCTAAGAGAGGCAGAAGAGATTAAGAAGAGGTGGAAAGAATAAAGAGAAGAACTATACAAAACAGATCTTAATGACTGGGATAACCATGATGGTATGGGGACTCACCTAGAGCCAGACATCCTGGAACGTGAAGTCAAGTGGGCCTTAAGAAGAATTGCTACAAATAAATTAGTGGAGGTGATCGAATTCCAGCTGAGCTATTTCAAATCCTAAAAGATGATGCTGTGAAAGTGCTGCATTCAATATGCCAGCAAATTTGGAAAACTCAGCAGTGGTCAGATGACTGGAAAAGGTCAGGTTTTATTCCAATCCCAAAGAAGGGCAGTGCAAAAGAACGATCAAATTTCCAGACAATTGTGCTCATTTCATATGCAAGCAAGGTTATACTCAAAATCCTTCAAGCTAGGCTTTGGTAGTACACAAACCGAGAACTTCCAGATGTACAAGCTGGCTTTAGAAAAGGTAAAGGAACTAGAGATCAAATTGCCAACATTTGTTGGATCATAGAGAAAGCAAGGGAATTCCAGAAAAACATCTACTTATGCTTCTGGACTACGGAAAGTCTTTGACTGTGTGGATCACAACAAACTGTGAAAAATTCTTACAGTGATGGGAATACCAGACCACCATAGCTGTCTCCAGACAAACCTGTATGCAGGTGAAGAAGCAATAGTTAGAACCAGACATGGAACAATGGACTGGATCAAGATTGGGAAAGGAATATGACAAGGCTGTTTATCATCACCCTGTTTATTTACCTAATATGCAGAGTATATCATGTAAAATGTTGGGTTGGATGAATCACAAGCTGCAATCAAGATTGCTGGAAGAAATATCAACAACCTCAGATGTGCAGATAATATCACTCTAATGGCAGAAAGTGAAGAGGCACTAAAGAACCTCTTGATGAGGATGAAAGAGAAGAGTGAAAAACTTGGCTTAAAAGACAATATTAAAAAAGCTAAGATCATGGCAATCTAGTTCCATCACTTCATGGCAAATAGAAGTGGAAAATATAGAAGCAGTGACAGATTTTATTTTGGGGGGCTCCAAAATGACTGCAGACAGTGACTACAGTAATGAAATTCAAAGACACATGCTCCTTGGAAGGAAAGCTATGACGAATATAGACAGCATGTTAAAAAGCAAAGACCACTTTACTGACAAAGGTCCGTATATTCAAAGCTATGGTTTTCCCAGCAATCATGTATGGATGTGACATTGGGCCCATGAAGAAGGCTGAGCACTGAAGAACTGATGCTTTTGAATTATAGTGTTGAAGAAGACTCTTGAGAGCCTTGGACTGCAAGGAGATCCAACCAATCCTAAAGGAAATCAACCCAGAATATTCACTGGAAAGACTGATGTTAAAGCTGATGCTCCAATACTTTGGCCACCTGATGCAATGAGCCAACTCATTGGAAAAGATCCTGATGCTGAAAAAAGTTGAAGGGAAAAGGAGAAGAGGGCAACGGAGGAGCAGATGGTTAGAGAGCATCATTGACGCAATGGCCATGACTTTGAGCAAACTCTGGGAGACAGTGAAGGAAAGGGAAGCCTAGTGTGCTGCAGTCCATGAAGTTGCAGAGTCGGACACAGCTTATCAACTGAACAACTACAAATACAAGGAATTAGACAACATTTCCAGCACCCCAACTTTTCCAGTTGCTACAAGAGGGTTTGGCTTCTATCGGGGCTGAGATAATAGAGCTTGACAAAACTTAGTCTCTTGATACACACTAACAGCAAAGAGTGGCTTGTATGAGCACAAGGTTTGGCTCATTTTGGTTGACTGGTGATGTCCATCTCCTGCATTAGCCTAGACTAGGACTCCAGGACTCCAGGCTGTGAAGATTGGCTCTTTTATCTAATACACAAAACCAAAATAGAGGACTCTCAGACTTCCCAAATTTTATCAGGTTCAAAAATTATTCATTTAACTTCTATTTTGGAAAGGAGAGAAACAAAGGCAGAGATGTCCTCGGAAAACCATAATTTCTAGGATAACTTATAATTAGATCACTACCAAACATAAAAATCTATCACCGAGTACTATCAACAATGTAAAACTCTTCCTATTAAGATTATCTCTTAAATTACAAGCAATTTTCAAATCAAGCTAAAAGGGAAATACACTCATACCAGACATAGTAAAGATCAAATGCACGTTATGCACATGCAGTGTTAGATGTGACATGACCTATGTCCCATTAGGGCCAATTATCTTCAGGTGGGAGCCACTTCCTCAATGAACCTTCAAATACAGCAAATGAGTTCATTTTGATCCCCCTTTTTAATTTTTCATTCACTCATTTTCCTTTCATATTTTTCTAATTATAAGTTCAATTAGTTTTTGCTACATAAAATGTCAACCGCATTTAGCTTAACATGGAGGACACTGGCAACTCCTACACCTAAGATCACACTAAGGTGAAAATACCTCTTAGATGGGAGGAAAGAATTTGCTACTGGGATCACCTAACTTCGAGCAATTTGTTGGTTCCAGGACCTGGCAACATCAATTACAGGAGGGGGGAAAAAAAAAAACTACAAATTTTAGAGTTTTACAGTTGGTTTATATTTCAAGAAATAATTAATAAAGAAAACTTTATTGAAAACATTTGATACATCCGGAAGATGATACACTGAAAGAGCCCATATAAAAATCTGGAGTTCCACTGAGCTGTTTGTACAGTAAAACCAATAGACCCAAGGAAGAACTAGTGAGAATAAAACTGATTCATTCACATAAGTAGATTCAAATAGTGAAACACCATTAAGTTGTACTATGACTTTATATAATTTTCAGAAATAATTTGTTTCTGGAATTTCACACATTAAATATTAAATGGTAAAGAGGGGTTTCTATTTATTTTTTCTGAAGTATCATAAACTTCAAGCCTAAAAATGCATCATGGACAGAAATTATAAAATCTGGAAACATTTTTATCTTTACATTAATGACTTTGTATATTATGACTTTTATAGAATAGTTGGCTCCATAAATATTATTTGAATTTAATTTACTTAATGTACTTAATTTGAATTTAATTTACTAAAGACTTATAAAAATAAGTAGAAAAGTGAAGGAAGATAGCTTTGGCAGAATATAGAGAACAAATGAAATTTTGAATTTAATTTACTTAAGACATAAAAATAAGTAGAAAAGTTAAGGAAGATAGCTTTAGCAGAATATAGAGAACAAATGAAATTTTCAACTAGAAGAAGGAACTGAATTGCCAAATAAGACACTGCTCACCCAGCTAAAAGTAGCACAAGCTAGATTGCCACACAGAGAGCTTCTCAAGAATAGATTTTGCCAATGGTGGGAACTTGACCTAGAGGATCAAGCACATCTGCTTAGACTCCAAAGCTCTATTTCTGCAACCTCATCCCAG